AGACATTCCTTGGTATGAAAAGACGTCTAAGACTCGCGTAAAAGCCGGCAAAGTGAGCGGCATCGGGTCGATCGATCGCTCTTCCTCGGGTTGTTCCTAACCGAGCTCGAATTTCCTCTTGCGAAACCCTAACTCGGGGCCTGCGAGCTCGTCTTCACCGTTCGCTCGTCTTCCCTCCTCCTTTTCCAGAGCCGCTTTCATTTGGCCGGTGATCCGAGTCTAGCCGAAGGCCCGCGATGCCGGCTATAAAGACAGCCCCCGGGGATGAGCAGGACGAGCGTCCACCGGGTGGCGGTGACATAACCGTGCGCGTAACGACCGTGCGAATCTCTTGACATTTACCTGTCCACGGCCCTACCTGAGCATGGCCCGAGTGCGGTCAAGAGATGCGCTCGTAATTACCCGATATTGGGTCGGACGATCGGACCTTGGCACGAAGTCGAGAAAGAACTCTTCAACGTCATCGAGACAGTTCCGGGTGTATTGTCATCGTGAGGTCTACTTTAGCTGTTAAGGGGATATGAAAGTGGCGTCGGAGGGGTCAGTCGTTCATGAAACTTATCATCAAACTGAGTGTATCGAAGCGTTTCAAACTTTACAACGTGAATGTAGAAGCCATAATAAAAGTCCCCTGAAATTTCACTTTACAACATCTCTTGAAATATCTATACAGAAATTGTTGAAAAAAAAATAGAGATTTCGTGGGGGTCAAGAGCTTCCTTATAACCTCCGTATATCACGTTATAAAGTTCGAAACGATTCGGTAAACCCAGTTTGAAGAAAAGCTTCATAAACGAGACCATTTTGACGCCATTTTCAATCAACACTTTAATTTGGCTTTCAATCGCAGATTTTGATTGATACAGATCTTGATTATTCTGTATTTCTGACCAGGCGAAATTTAAATACACCGCACATTTGGCTTTCATGGTGCAACTTGGGGATAGAGAATTTCATTTTTAGTATGAGGACGTTGTATGTACTAATATAAAAGCAGCTACCTACTCCGTGGTTCGACGTCTTTTACCCGCCATTTGTGCCCAATGTACGCTCTTTTTAAATATGCACATGTATGCACTCGGCATGCAAGGTGTGCCTCCCAAGTCGGACCGCTACCTGCCGTGCCGAGCATACGTCCGAGCGAGTTACGCATCGCGACGAAAACCGACGAATTCAGCCTAACCCGTAATCTCCGATCCCTTGTACAAAAGCAGTTCCCAAATATCTGCAGATAAAAATGAAATGCACTCCCACCTGTATAAGAAAAAAAATATTTCAGCGCCGAGGAAACAAAACTCCGCGCCGCGGTTAAAGCCGCGGTTCGGACTGCACTTAGGACTCTTACGGGCAAGTCACCGTTGGAAATCGCGCATTACCTGGCTCTCTCGTAATTATTCCCCGGTGCGATAATGATTTAAAAAAGACAAAACGACTCGAAGCTCGGCGCAATCACTGTCGGCCCTGTGGGCAATGCACCGAGCGCAACAGGTGCACTCTACTTGCCTGAACTCGTGTCGCAATCCCGCGGAATTAAGAGATTTGTCCTCTAGAAAATCATTTTCGACGTCTAAATCATTAAACCGTAAATTTAAATGAACGTAAATAAATGATATATAAATAATTAGTATTGCAGAAAAGGTCGAACCCTTCGCGCCTGTCGATTCTAGGTCTTCGACATCAACCACGAGGAAGTGCGGATTTGCGCGGTGAATCCATTACGGAATCGAAAGAATAAGGCGAACTTAAATAAACGTAGATAAATAGTATATAAATAATTAATCGTTGCGGGTCAAGTCGAACGCCTTCGCGCCTGCCGATTCCAGGTCTTCGACATCAACCACGAGGAAGTGCGGATCGCGCGGTGAATCCATTACGGAATCGAAAGGGCATCCAGCTCCGTATTGCGGGATCACGTAAGAAGAGCACCTTTCACCTCTAGGCTCATCGGGCCCCTCGTGTAGGTGATCGTCCACGGGGATCCTCTTCGTGTAGGAATCAGCGCGACCATCGCCGGTGCGCTCCTACGTGCACACCGGTGACGGTGCATGCAGGTATGACCGTGCATACAGGTATGACGATGCATGCAGGTACAATGGTGCGTGCAAGTAGACACTGCAACGATATTCCTGTCACGGCTATCCAGGAACCCGCGGTAAGGGAGACAGGGGGAAAGCACCTGATCCCCGGTGCATACCTGCCCTCCCAGGAGGCAAGTGACCAGATGATTCTCGCCTCTTCCAACTTTTTTGGAAATAAAACTGGTGATAAAAAGACGGACCTGCATTAAGGTCGGCGGTGAGGTCTTAACTGTGCATGCTTCTGCATACCGTTAACGTCAAACGGTGTCTAGCCGTAAGTGGAAGTCGATGATGCCACGTTACCGTTCGTCCCGAAGTAACGGGGAAATGGAAATGTTGCGTCGTGTCGAAATGAAGTAACATTAACCTTGTTTTTAGTTTAAATTTAATCAACTCATTTTTTTCTACGCCGTTTAAGAGCGGAAGTCAATGATGCCACGTTCCGTTTGTCCCGAAGTAACAAGAAATTCAAGTGTTACGCCGTAAAGAAATGCCTAGAATTAATGTTTACCTTATTATTAATAGAAATTTTCTCCACGATTTTTTGCAGCCTATTCAGGAATGAGAACCGACGGTACCACGTTACCAGTCATCCCAAAGTAACGAGGAAATACCTAGAAATAATGTTTACCTTGTTTTGTAATAACAACGCAATCCACTAATTTTTTGTTGCCTGCGAAGACATTTTACCGTGAGATTACCATCGGAGAAAACTATTAGAATGCCTTAAAAGATTTTATGAAGGGATAGCAAAGGCAACTTCCGGCATGGCCTCTGATGTAGAGCACCATAGCGGTGCTCCGAGTTATGCCAGGCGTTATGTCACTGCCAAGGCGAGGAAAGGAAGAGGCCACGTTCGCCAGCACTCGAGAAAATGTTAATGGGGTCGATTTCTGGATCCGATCTACATTGTCTCGCCGTATCTCGTGGATCGAGAGAAATGTCGGAAGATGTCCGAGCACTGCTCGAGACGCGTACTCGGGAGCATCGGATTTCCGGTATCACGTTACAACATGGTACTCACGATTATACCGCTTCGCGTTATGTCGGGCATTATGTCACCACGATGACGAGGATAGAGGTTCATCCAGGTCCCTCACCAGGAGAAATCAGTGAATATAAAATTAGCAAGAGAAGGACATGACATTTAAACAAGCGAACATTTTAATAGACGAAAAAGAGAACAAACGAACGAAATCTTTAAAGGTTTTGCGAATTACTCGGAGGGACTTTCAGGACCAAGATGGCGGCCGCGAGAAACGCTTATCCAGGTTCCTTGTGAAGAAAAATTAATGAATTTCAAATCATTAAGGAAAAAGGTTCTGATATCTGAACAAGTGGAATTTTCAGTAAATTAAGAAATTACGTGGAAGTGAAGATTCGAAACTAAGGTGCATCCTTAAGATTTCGCAAATTATCTGCGAGAGACTTCCGGAACCAAGATGGCGCACGCAGGGTGGCGCGATGTCGTGGCTGTTCGCGACCGTAATTCAGGCGAATAGCTCGTCGTAAAAGGCCAGAACTGGGCCGGAGCTTGAGTCGGTAAAATCTCCGCTCTTACCTACATACCGACGACGGTTATTGCCCCGAGCCAATTTGCGGGATTTCACGGATAATTTCGCTCGGACTGATTTACGGGGCCCGCCTTTGCGTGGAGGGTCCGCCATGGCGGCAAGCCGCCTGGAGGTCGCGGCGCTCACTTCTTTAGCGAGCCCTTCAACGAGATTTACCGTCTTTACCTTGAACAAACGCAAACTTCACCAATCGGAAAACCCATGCAACAATTGCCAGACAAAACATGACCAGACAATTCAAGTCACTACGTATTTTATGTAAATGAAAAAGCGAAAAACATCGCCGTTCAAAACACGGGTATGCCGCGAGTGACGGCCGCCATCTTGTGGCGTCGGCAGTTATCGTCTATCGAGGCACGTTCGAGTGGGAATATACTCTAAAATGAATGGTTCGAAATTTCTGGTTTCTGCTTGACTCCAATTATTCCCAATTTCCACCCGGATGAAAAAATTCATTGAACCAAAGAAATATTTCTCTGGTTGAGTGACATTTTTTTTCCTCGATGCAGCAATATGGAACTCTGTTTTTATCGAAGCTTTCCCACTCGAGATTTCTCTTCCAGTCATTCCGGAGAGGAGTAAGATCGAGTCTGCGGCGAATCGTCGGAGGACTTCCATTTTCATCGGCTAAGGCGAGAAGGGCCCTTCATCGGGCCCGAAATAATTCGTATGCGCCGGTGCAGATAATAACAGGTGTCCAAGGAGCCTCCCAGCTTTCCCGCTTTCGTCTCACCTGGTGCAATCGCGGCGCTTCCGGTCCGCGCCTTCTGCAAGCCTCAAGGAGTCATTGCTATTCCACGAGCGCCGCCGGAAACGGAAGCCCTCCATTATCCCGAGTGGCCGTCTGCCGGGATCGCGAGACGCTAAGTTTTCTCGATCGTGGGTGTCGAGTCTCGAGATAGGACGTCGACGCGAAAATCCGGCAAATGGCGACTCCATAATGGAGCAATCTCGACCCGAGTCCCCAAATCACGGAATTAATTTAAAAACAGAATTAAGATAAAATTAATTGATTTCCAGTGAAAAAAAATAATAAAATAAAAACGGCATAGAACATATTTCCCATTTTTGTCGTCGCTAGAGTTCATGTCAAACTGATCGCGTTTGTTTTAATTTTAGGAAAAACAGGAATCTCGTCCTCAAAGGACGAACCTTGCCGAGGTCGAGGTTTCGCGCTTCTCGTCTCTTCCTTGAGAATGTCCGAGGTTGCGTAGAAGCTAGCACATCGTCTCGACATGGAAAGCGACCTCGAGGATCGCGAGGCTCGAGGGAACGTGGTTCACCAGGACAGTGCTCGACCTTCGACGGCCACCTTCCAACCTAGATTACAAAGCGAAGCAGCACTTACCCTGCAGCAAAAGTCCATGCAGCGCAAGGTTCATGGCTACGCTCCCCTTCGGTAACTTCCACCTGAAATAAAAGGAGTAACATCACAAAACCATCCCACCGTTGAAATAACTTAGAAAATCCTGCAACAAAAGGAATAACAAGAATCTTACATTTTTCCCACCGGAGAAGTAACAATTGTTTCTCGGCAGTTGCTACAAATTCATTTGCTAATTTAGCAGGCACTTTTTTTTTTCTGATAAAAGCTCTCAGTGATTACATCTACGTTTGACATAATTGCAACCTTGCAAATGCTAATTCTTGCAGCAAGTGCAAAACTTCATCAACAATGTCGTTCTTAGCCCAGACTGTAAATATCTACTTTCCGCTCATCCAAAAAGTTTTACTTTTCTAGTAAACGCTTTAATGGCGACGGCGAGAGAAAAGTTTGCTAGGAAAGGACGAATTTCCACCTCGTCCGAGATAAATGGTCCAGGCTCCTTGGAATGGTCTTAAGAGGATCTCTTAGGAGATGAGACTCGCCGAAGAACGCTACAAATGCACCGGATAGAAGCGTTTAACAAAACGCGTGGGTCTCACGTGGGTGTCGGCCTTCGAGTCGACGTCGAACTCGGTTGCACCTATTGTCATCGCTTTGATCGGACATTCCTGCGATTTTAGTCTTCCTTCTAAGCTTAAGATCTTAGGATGACTAAAAAATGTCTCACGACGCTAACGCCACATCTCTAAATTTGTTTTCCCATTTATTGAAAATCACCCTGGTCGAATCAAAATGTTCCCTTGTCATTGGTTAGACAATCAGACTTGCGATAATAGTCACGTTTAGAAAGGTATCGGGAAATACCTTGACAAATAATTACAAGCGACTCCATTTTTGGGTAGAAAATCCAGAAAAGCCGGGACCACCGGCGCCGCGTTTCAGCGCGCTCTTGGCTATTTTCACCTTACGTAAAGCGCGAGCGGAGGCGCGCGCGTTTCCACGCGACGACGGCTTTCCCCGATCGGTATCGTTCGATCGAAAGACATCGGGCCACACCCCGTTACGGGCGCGTGCGCGGCCGCGTACGCGGCCGCGCAAACGGCCGCGCCGAGGCGTGAAAGCCGCTGCCACGTGGAGCCACGTCTTGCCTCGCGATTAGCGGACCCGACCTACTTGGTTGAGCGCCAAGGGGTCGTCGGGCTTGAAACGCGATTTTCGGCATCTTTCCCCAGAAAAAAAAAAAAAAATCCTATTAGTGCCTTGTAACTACAGGATATCTTTGACACTAAATTGAGGCCTAAGTTTATCCTTGAAGTCGTTCGAAAAAAAAATCGAACGAGCTTGTGCCTCCTTGAAATCGTTTAAAAAAAATTCCACGAACATATGACTTTTTCTATCGTTCGAATGAAATCCTTAGCATGAACTCATGGGTTTTTTTTTTTAGTTTCGAATGGAAAGCAGTATGAATATTTTTCGGGAAATAGTTAAAAAAAACATCCCATGAAATTATACCTCAACCGAGGATATGTGTAGAGATTATGAACGTCTTAGAAGTAGAAAAGCATGAGCATTAAGAATGAGCAACGAGTGGGGGTGCAAGGACTCAACGTGTCTCCCCCTTGATTAGTGCACTTTTAATTGTCACTATCACTCGTTTCGCATGGTCCTCCACGCAAGTCCTCTTGTATAATAAGGACGCGTAACAAGTACGAGTGTATGAATCATGCAAGCAGCGGTAATGTCTCATTGTGCACCCACGAGTCGCATTAACTCCCGATTTGAAAATAAATTCGAACCGACCAGTTTTTTCCCCTTTTTCTTCGCTTATCTCGATACAGCAGTTTCGCAACGCTTCGTTAATATTAATCGAAGGTTCGGTTTCCTTTATAAGGTTATGGGCACTGTCTCTCTCCCGGACTCCGATTCGATGCTTTTCCTCGCGACGCCCGATCAGCTGATTTTGACAAGCGCGGCGCCCAACCAGCCGCCTTTGACAGCCGATTACCCATCAGCTGATTTTGACAGACCTGCCGCCCATCAGCCTATTTTGACAACCGATGCGCCCATTAACTGATTTTGACAGACGTTCTGCCCACGAAGAAAGGTCGTCTGCACGACGTTATATAAAGAAATACAACGCAATGTATTGAAATCGTCCCCACTTTGAGGGACCAAAATATTCAGATTTTTTTCTAATTTAGTACCGAAAGCGCCTCTGCTGCTAGCGTGCTAATCATTAAGATAGTTCTTACATGCTCAGAAATCATTTGTCAAAGTTTCGGTCAGTTCGATCCAATGCCCATAAAAAAAAAAGTGTCTTATTCGATTGGGCTGATTTTTTTTGGGGGGGGAGGGTTTGCTTCACCTTAATTTTTTTTGTATATAACTTTTCTGTACATTACACGTGGAATTTTCTACTTCTCGACTTTCTGAGGAAAGTAGGCAATTTCGGCCGAGTTATCTCACGCAAGGAGAGTTTATCGCGACACCAGGCGAGGCCATTTCTACTGCACCTAACCGTACCTACTCGGCTGCGTATCTAGCCGAGTTCTATGCATATGTATGCACATGCATGCGAGCATTTATGCACCCGAGGTACAACATATGCATTCGAGCGGTGCTTTCACTTTCGGCAAGAGCACCTGCGCCTCGAAATATGCTAGGATGCGAACGTCTGTAGATCAGCGAAATTCCTGGATTTTCGGCCATTTCAACTCAATTTCAAAATGAAACTAGAAATTCCCACGCAAAGAAATCTTTTAAAAAATTCAGAATTCCCTACACATAGGAATGAAAAATATTAAGGATTTATCACTTGATAACGAATTAATTCTTACGAACTTTAAGGTGATATCATATCATAGTGGCATCTGAGAAGTCAATTGTTCGCCATATTTTTCTCCGAACCTGAGTGTAGCGAATCATTTAAAACTTTACAACGTGAATATGGAGTCTATAAGGAAGGTCCTGGCGCTCATGAAATTTCACTTTTATAACAAATTTTGAAAATGTCTATGAACAAATTAAAAAAGAATTTTTAAATTTGAAATTTCATGAGAGTAAGGACCTTCCTCGTAGCATCCATATTCACATTGTACAGTTTGAAACTATTCGGTACACCCAATTTGAAGAAAAACTTCACCAAACCTCTTCGACGCCACTTTCGTATCACCTTAAGGCCTTATCAGCCTTATAGGACGGATGGACCAAAAGATGCCGACATCTTCTTCCTGATTAACTCGAACAATTCTTCGCATCCGAAGATCGATAAGCGACTATCCGATGGCCATTGATTCATAGATCGCGATACTATAGATCCTCATTAGCTACGTCGCTCTTTCCTGGATTACATGCTCGCTTCGATGTAATTCTCGCTGTAACGCAGATAAATCCTTCGACGTCTCATCCAATGATTAATGCAGACGCTATCGGCTGTAATCTTGTAGACGATAAAACCTCGTGTTAACACAATGCCTCGGAAATGAGGGTAAAAGTCTAAATCGCATTCGATAAGCAGTGATCAATTTTGACACGCTTGTCACTCTTATCGCACTCGAGCGGGTACTTCTCGATTCAATTAGCGAAATCAATTCCTTTTCTCCTTGCAGGCGTGAAAGGCCTTCTTTTACGGTTACGTACTTTACACTAATGCCCGTCTCGCCTTTATCGCGTACGTGTAGGATCGCTTCGCTTAACAGACTTTTTACCGTGTCGCGTAGGTAAAGTGTCATTTACACGCAAGTAAGTGCCACTTAACGCCGAATGCCCTCCTCGTACAATTGCATTCTGACGGACATGAAGAAGTTGGCTCGGAATATAGAATATAAAATGCCACATTTATTACCCTGTTAAAAATATTCATCAAATTCATACGCTTTTTGTACATAAGGTTACAGTAAAATTAAAATTGTCACGCCTTAAAAATGCCCCAGGTACACATTCGTTATAAATTTCTTAATAAATTTATGATTTTTAATGATGAACCCGAAGAAGACATTGTTTTAAAAATATTCATGAAATTCCTACGCCTTTAGTACACAAGATTAGAATAAAATCATAAATTTTATGTTCTGCAAGTGAAGTAGGACACGTTGAGTATAAATTTCTCTGTAAATTGAATGCAGAATGTAAAATGCCTTATTTCAACACGGTTAAAAATATTCATGAAATTCCTACGCTTTGAGTACACAGAGTCATAATAAAATCATAAATTTTATGTTTTAAATATGAAGTGGTAAACAATTGAATATACACTTTTAAAGAAATCGATAACTCCATGACATCGCGTTTATAATCTTGTTAATAGTAAAAAAATTAACACACCCGTGTACTAAACTTATAACACACGTTACGTGTATTAGAAACTTCTAACGAAATTGTTTCAAAACTATAAATTCTTTCTTCTTAACAGTGTAATCACAGTTCCGTCGTTGAAATTCTACTTGTAAAAGAGTAAATGATTTTCCAGCGCCTGCTCTTGCATCGACATTTTCCAGGCCCGAGTTTTCCGCTCGTCGCCGAAGTCATTCCGCCTTTTACCGTGCATTCATTAAACTGGAATGTAAAATATCGTACAATTGCGTCGATAAGTCGCACCAGCCGCATTCCGGAGTTCTCATAATCCGGCGTGTTACGCGGAGTTTCTAAAATGAATGATCGCTGGCCACATTTAGGCTTTTTTGCGCTCGTCATCGGAGCGACTCCACCTTCCACGAGGCCCTCGTCGTCAAATCGCAATTCGCAATGCCGTAAAATTTCGCCCCCGAACCGCTTCCCACATTACGCTTTCAGAAACGAACGTTTATGATAAATTATCACTGACAAACGGCCCGGCTCGTTGACGGACTTACTGATTTCCTCGTATTTTACCGCTCGTTAAGCCCGGGATAATAGCCGGGAAATTACCTCACCCGAAAATCGCTGTCCCATATATTTTTTACCATTTTCGTACCCTTATTCTATGTATCCGTGTTATTTAAAAGACTCGTAAATCATCGGGGCAAATTCACACCTTCTAGGTCGAGTGCATTACAGAGGCGGAGGTGGAGTGACTCCGAATCGAGAGAAAAAAATGACTACACATAATAACGAAAAATCGTTGCGATAAGTCTGTGGCAAACTTTTTACCGTGCCGCGTAGGTAATGTGTCATTTACACGCGAGTAAGTGCCACTTAACGCCGAATGCCCTGATACGAGTATATTATATATATATAGAATGACCCTTTTATATGACCTTAAGTGGGCCTTTCTGCGCGACATTTCGCAGTCACTTTTGGAGCCTGATTTTCTGGGGCCTTTTTGGACCTTTTAGGACCTTTTTCGACGTTTATGCCGAAACGAAAGCCTCGGTGGAAGGCGAATAGACTCATTTTATCGGCGGCCACATCGCGCGAGAGCTGGCGAACGCGTCGCCACACTTCGGCTCACGTAACCGATTCGATACCGGTTTTTCGTCCCAGCACCGAGCTCACTTATCCTTACGCGAGTTAGCGGAGAAAGGAGAGGGATTATTTTTAGCCCGGCATATCTTTGCGCCCTTTTTCCGATCTCTCTGGTGGATTTTTTGCCGCCAGGGAAAAAGGACCGGCAGGAACCCTTCTCTCTTTCGAGAGCCGCGGTGAGCCGCCCGGCAGCTCTTTCATCGCGCGAAACAACCTCCTCCACCTCAACCTAGCAATCCGCAAAATTCCGAAAAACCGGAATCGCAACCTGGGACCTCGCAACACCGATTTCTCATTCACCCCTTCACCTAGAGTACGATTTAACTACACGACCTAGCGACTTGATTTAATAAATTCCCGATTATTCACAAGAATTTCCGATTAATCAGACTGCACTCGAGCGGGTCGGCAGGATCACTTTTGTAAATTCAATACTTTTCGCGGGAATTTTATAATTAGTGGACAAACAGCTCAAGTGCGATCTAAATGCACGACTTGCCAGGACTATTTTTCCAATTCGCAATTTTTCACGGGAATTTGTCATTAATGGCCGAACGGCTCAGGGGCAATTCAAGTGCACGACTCGCCAGTAGAATTTTTCCAATTCGCCGTTCTTCTCCGGGATCTTTAATTAATACTTTGATGTCCTCTAGAGAAAGCATCGTTTTAGGAGGAAGGATGAAGTTAACGAATCCCCTGGCGATATTTAATCCAGGAGATTCGTCGGTCCCCGGGGTGCCTAGTCGCTCTTGCGACACTCGAGTGTATTTTCTAGTCGGCTAGAGATCGTCTTCGTTACTTTCGACTTGGGCAACGCTGACAAATCGATCGTGTTCGATCGTCGGACGGCCGCGTTCGCGATGCGGTCCATCTCCCTGCGGTGGGAAGGAGCATAGAGAGACTATCTTTCGCAACGAGACGCTACCGGGCCCGACTAAGCGATCGGTTACCTACTGGCACACTCTGGGAGCCGATTTCGATCCGGCGAGACCAAGTCCGCCGAAACCGAGTGAAGGAGAAAGCGACTCCTCTCGATCGGGCTCGAATAATTGGAGGAACAGAGAAAATGGCCCGGGAATGTCGCTGAAACTTTACGGGCGCGTATTAACCCGGCGCATAAAAAAGTCCCATGGGAAACGGATGGCCCGCACTTTCCCCTAGGTTTAAAGAGACAATAAGATCTAGAGACTTTTACTTCTCGATCATAAAACAAACCTCCACTCGGTTGAAAAAAATTATTAAATCTCTCATTTAATTTTCTTTTCGTCGATCGTGAAATTATCGCGCAATTTATTCTGTGCATTAATCTATGTACAGGGTGATCCACTACTGATCGTCCACCTTGTATATGTAAACCCCTTATACAAAATGTGGTATTACAAATATCATTTTATCGACGCCGATTTAATTTTGTCAACGTCTTTCGTATCACCGGAAGGCGTGGGTGCCATTTCTCGGGCAACATGGCCGCGCTTGGGCGTTTAGGAAATCCTTGAGAATTTGGGCAATTTGTGAAAGTAAGTGTATTGTTTCCCCGCTGGAACGATTCCTACGAGACTGGTGGAATGTCAATGACGGATTACGAACGCGTAACCCTTTGAGAGCGGCGCCCGAAGAGACTCCGCTTTCCCTCGCGAGCTGAACAGCTGACGACCGTCATTGCTCTCTCCGGGTCCCTTTGCTACTGTTATTCCGCCAGCCGGAAGTCTCTTGCAGCTTAGAACCGGTGAAGAAGAGCAATGGCGTCGATTAATGACACCCAACCGCGAGCTATCTCCCGAGGAACGAAATTACACAATTCTTCTCACCCTTTTTCACCTCGCTCCAGTCGTACATTTTTTAAACGAGTGTTCTTACCTCAAGAAGAAAATTTCACTTAACCAAAGAAATATTTTGTTCATTCAATTAATAATAATGATCTGACTGAAGCTGGAATAAATCGGGTGCAACGTTTCTTCGGAATTACTACAATTTCTTCGCCATGGAATAGTCAATATCTCCCACTGATAGACCTTAATCACATTCCAGTTACTCGATCTCCACTCATAACCACATATTTTACAAAATCATCGAATAAATTCCTATTTCATAAAATAAAGGTGGTAGTGAAATAATTGAACGGTAGTAATAAGAATCTTGTTTTACCAACTGATTGGAAAAAATGCATATCTCTCACAAAATACAGGTACCCTGAGATAAATGATTGGGTGACCGAAACAAATATACATCATCGACATGTATATTTCCTCAATCATATCCAATCGGAGGAAATAATTATTTTGTTGAGAAGAAAAATCGATAGTGTAGATTTAACCGAATTTTGTTTACTAAGTCTGACAATTCCTAGGACGTATTCGATCGCCGAATTTTGCTGTCGCAGTGTAGATTCCATTGTGTCGAAGAACTCTTTTTTTCCCCAGTTTAAGAATGAAATAGCTCGAAAGCTGTTAATGAGATTTATCAGGGGGAGAAATCGGCGATTCAAAGCAGATCGGTATTTTTTATTTCCAAGACCTGGAATACCTGGACACGCATTCTCGGATGCTGGATGCACGGCTGCATAATTGGACGCGGAGGCTGGCCGATTAAATGGCAGAGCGATTTCGAGTGATTTCTAACCACTTAGAAAGTAATGTGGAAGTGCGAGAGAGGGTCGTACGTGATCTCGTTGAGAGCTGGGAAACCAGGGTCCACCTCGGCCTTGTCTTCGGAAACTCCGTCTTGATCGGCAAGACTCGGAATACAATCCGTGCGAACGAATTTAATTACTAACTCAGCAACGAGCGAACTGTAAAAATTCCTGGAGCCTCGTCGAGCGACTCGTGCACACGAAAGTGTTCCTGAAGGTGTTACGAAAGGGCCATTCTATACGATATCAAGACGTTAAAATAATAATAAACCATTCCCCCAAACTGGGCGCACTAGATATTAAAAAACATTACCACGTAATCATGAAGACCCTAACGAAGGTCTTGAAACTCAGGAAATTTCATCGCTTGAAAAAGTAAAAGTGTTTCTTTTTTGGCTCTTGACCGGGACAGATAGAACTTATTTTTCGAAAAATAGAATATTCGCGAGTTTCAAGACCTTCGTTAGAACCTCTATATTAACCTGCTGAAGCTTCAAATGATTCGGTGCCTTTATAAATGTTTTCGCATTTTGATATGTACATAGAATGACCCTTTCATAACACCTTAAAAAGCCCTCGAGCAAATTCTAACGCGCTCGCAAAGTCCCCCGGCGAGTAAACGACACATCCTGGCGATATTTACGAGCCATCTCTCAGTGTGTGAAATTACCCAGTTGAATCCCACTTGACTTGTACGCCGCAGCCATGACACCGCATACCCACGCGCACGAGGACGCGGATTTTCAATTAAAATTAAATTTCCCTACATTCCCTGAAGAGCGCCGCTCGAAACGCGAGTCTCCAGAAGAGACAGCCCCGAAGAACCACCGAGCTCTTCATTAATATAATCTCATATACTACGATATAAATTAACAATTACAAATCCTAGACAAGGTGTCACAATGATCTGGGATCGACATCCTCGGTATAAACTCGTTTTCGATAAAAAAAAAAAAATCCAGGCGTCAGGATGACTCTCGAATCGACCTTTCTTTTCCTGTTCTTTTCTTTCGGGCCACCTTTTATTACTCTCCGTTTATTTTTAAACAATTTTACGGCTTCATTGCTTAACTCGATTAAGTAGAAAGTGTTCGTCGAGCAGCAAACGCGACATTAAAATGGAGTTCCTCGACCCCGGTTAACCCTTAAACGGAAATTGGGTCATTTTGACCCACCGACGTCATACCATAAATCTGCACAAAAAGTATAAATGTCTCTCTCTAAAAAACATATTCACATTTCTTACGGGCCATAATTAATCGAAAATGTCTGAGAGTAAAAGTGGTTCAAAATTCGTGGTATCATGAAGTCAATGTTCGTTGAGATCTGTTCTCAAAGAATGAAACCACGGAGTCTATAAAATTATTATTAATTAACTGTCGGAGAATATGTTAAAGTGCGAGATTCATGGTATAAAAACGTTGGATAAAAATTGCTCAATTTCTGTATAATCTGTTTAAAGGCTGGTCCCTTTAACCGAGGCGTTGGAAACTCCCGTTTTCATGAGTTATGGTTCGTTATGCCTGCTTAAAGAATTAAAACTAAACCACCAGAAAAAAAAAGAATAAAGAAAAACTAACAAAGAATATGAACTCAGCTATTAGAGAAGAATATCCTTCGCCGACACTGACCTTCGTGGTTCGTCGGAAGTTCCCCTCCAAGAGGTTGCGCAGGTTCGGGTCGGATCCTATCCTCGGGTCTCCCGGGTCGCCTCTACCGCTTCTCCAGGGAATCCGGCGTCCAGGAGCATGACTCCGGACCCACGCAAGTCGCGCAGGTGCACCCCGGGCCGCAGGGCCCGAGGGAGCCTCCCGAGGCCGCTCGTAGGGTCTGGCCCGAACTCAGGGTGAGACTTCGCGGGTCACCTGGCGCACCTGGTCCGGGCATGCCAGGTCGCGGCCTTTTCGCGGCCCCTCTTCGCCTAGTCCCGATGGTCCCGGTGGTCCCGGCTATCCTGGTCCTCCGATCGACGTTCTGCGGCTTCCTGGACTCCGATTTCGGTCACTCTCGAGCCCTCGCGGACCCTGCCCGCGCCCTTCGGGCCATTCCTTGGGCCGACCACGAACCTGCCGATTGCTGCCAACACTCCGACACAGGGTCGCGATTCGAGCCGGCTACCTCGCCACGGGGAAGCGCCGGAGAAACTGAAGAGTCTTTGCCGACCTGCCAGACAACGTGCTCGCTGCCTCCGGACCTCCTCTCCATGACCAGGCCCGGCTGGAGAAGGGAAGCGCGAGGCGCCCGGGTCCACCTTGGAAGTCTCGCCGACTCATTTTTATGCTTTTCCTTCGATTGAAAATCCTTATTCCCTTAAGATCACCTGCAATTAGACCTTTTTTTTTGGGTTGAAAATCGTCAATTTACCCATAGACGTAGAGATAGTCAGTATGGACCTGGAAAGTTGGAATTTTGGAAAAAAGAGACTTGTTCAAATATAAACACCCATTAAGAGATTTTTCGAAATTCGACCCCTACAAGGTGAAAGTGGTGGCTGAAATTTCAGGTCCTCTCGAAAATCGTTAGATCTAAAAACATGAAATTTGGCAAAAATACTCCTTGTTCTAATCTGATAGATACGTATAAGACGAAATTTCGATTTTCATTTTTCGATTATGGGATTTTTAACTATGGGGTGGTAGATGGTTCAAAGGGTTCCTGGAAGCTGAAATCGCATGAGTTAGGATTTCATCGGGAACGTATATTGCGACAATGGAATCTTTTCGCGATACGCGAAGTAATGACGATCGACTAGTGATTTTCCAAAATCCATATCAAAAAGAAATGTAAAATTGTGAAATTCATACATCAAGTGTCACCGTATCCTTTAACGATTTCCTTGTTTCCACTGCGGGTATCGCGCATGTATCTTTTATGCCGTATGAAGAAATGTCTGGTATCCGCATTCCGCAGCTCTTGACATTCGAGATCCGGCACCCGAGACGGAGAAGTCTAGCTATAGATCGCAGGGTTTATTTATTTTTCCTCGAGATGTGACCATCGATTACAAGAAGGGTCTGGAAAATGCAAGTGCAGCCTGTTCCAGCGATTCGATTCATTTCAATTCTCGCTTACCGCTTCGGAACATTGAAAAGAAGGGAAATGACAAAATTACTCGGTCCAATGACAACGAGCTGTCAACTTGAAAAGCGTTACTGACCGACTCGGCTATGGAATGGCTAACGAGAGAACGGGAGAAAATTAATCGAGTCAAGCCAACAAAAATTGAACGACTATAAGAAATCGCTCGCGATATGTGCAAGTGGACATTTGCAAAAATACATTTACCCCTTTTCCCCCTCTTAGGGGTTGAATTTAGAAAAAAGTCCCTTCTTAGCGAGCATCTATGGTACAAAAGGAACATACTCCTCAAATTTCACGTTTCTATACCCAGCGGTTTCGACTCGACGATGATGAATCAATCAATGAGTGATATTTGCCTTAATATATACAGATAAAGATAATTGCAAGATTAAGAAAAAATCCAGGATTCCTCCAGAATTCCTGGAGTCCTTCGAGACGTACTTCGGGGGCAACGGGAGAGCAAGTGGACGAAAAATTGTGAAAATTGTGAAAATTAGATAAATGACTCCGTTTCGACGATGATGAGTCAATCGATGAATGATATTTGCCTTAATATATACAGATAAAGATAATTGCAAGATTAAGAAAAAATCCAGGATTCCTCCAGAATTCTTGGAGTCCTTCGAGACGCACTTCGGGGGCAACGGGAGAGCAAGTGGACGGAAAATTGTGAAAATTGTGAAAATTAGATAAATGACTCCGTTTCGCGACAAGCCTAACGAGAGTGCCGTGTCAAAGGAGAGAGGACAAAAAACGTCCATTTGAAAACACGAGTGCGAGAAATCACGTAACCCGAGGCTTTGGGGCACCTTGGGGTAACTTCTGGTTCTTTGGGCGGTAATTTGCGTCGTTAAAACGCTAAATTGCTGGGAGGGGAAAAATGACGAAATTCCTGGGCTCGATCGAGCGACTCGCTACCGGTCGGCCCGAAAAGCGGCGCCGATCTCGTCTCGCGATCGCTAACGAGAGAACGGGAGAAAAGTAAGCCAGCTGGGCTGGCTGGCCTTCGCGTTAGCGACGTCGACACCGTCTCCGTTCACGGGCTGAATTCGTTCAGACTGCGTTTCGATCGGGGCCGATTATCATGCCTTTACGACTCGCTGATCCGAAACTGCCAGGGCGGAGGGTGGCTCGTCTCAAATACGCCTAGCGGAAAAGCTAACATAATTAGGGATATAATGCTCGCTCGGTCAGAACAGTTTCTTGCATCCTTCCGCTCCTGCGGCACTTTCGCTCTTCGCTTTGAAGAAATTGCACCGCGGAGATATTTAATGACATAATTTGAAGCCTCTCCTCGGAAAGATCCTGCCGATGGCCTCGTAGAATTATCCGTGACGGACATTCGGTCTGCTGGGATCGAATGGCTCCAACTCTCCTGCACTTTATCCCTGTTAAATACTCGTACCCACTCCTGAAATCTCGATCCTTACTGTATATAACTCTGTAGCGTCTCGCTCGAATTCAACGCGTTTCCCGCATCACTCAACGTTACGAGTTTCTTCATATATGCATCTCAGGTGGATTATTGATAGTAAAATAACGTGTGGATGAAGGAAAGTCAAAAGGACAACCTGACGAAGCATGGGCTACTTGGCTATGCATTCTCATTGGCTCCAACTGTCCTGCACGTTATACCTATTAAATGTATGTATATATGTATTTGAGGTGGATTGTTCATAGTAAAACGGGTGGATGAAGGAAAATCAAAAGGATAACCTGACGAAGCATGGGCTACTTGGGTATGCGTTCTCTTCTCCTCTTGGTGTGGGTACTAAAGGGTTGAATAAGTATGCAGGGAATGCAACCTTGAATCTGGAATCTCGTGTAATGCTTGAGGTGTATGGATGTGCGTGTCCCCGTGTACCGTAAAAATTAAACGGTTTAACGATTACGTGCACACGCAGGGAAGGGAGTCCAGTTATGTCTGGACAAACCTGAAAAGAGTCGCTTATACGTTAATAACTGGAGCAGAATTGTGTAACCCAGTGGGTGGCCGCCTTTCTCCGACAGGACACCGGATTAGCTGTGTGTCTTTGCACACGCAATACAGTTATTTCGTGCCAATGAGTACGACGTAATACGTGGCCTTACGCACACACTTTTTAGATATTTATATATAATTCACACCCAGAGCTCTCGACTTGGACGTCCCACTTTATGCAACGTGGAAATTCATACGTGATCGAGATGATTGCCGATTCCTAACTCTAATTCTGTCGATGGAAAAATAGAAGCAAAGAATATCAACGCCGATATGCCATTATTTGTCGCGTTTATTATAGCTAATGTCGTTACATTACATTATCCTAACTAATGTAAAAAAAAACTGATACTTGCCGAGTATCGTTGAAAGAGAAACTCAGTAATACGTGCATTAAATCATGCGATGCTCGATGATAGTGTTGCATCGTACCAGTACTCTTCTCTCGTAGCGAAATTTTGAAGCTTTCGGTACTCGTACGAGATTCCTTTGTTCGTAGAGAAGAATGTAACAATTCGAGTGAAGCTTCTCTTTCCTTCAGTCATGCGTCGACGGAAAGGACTCAAGGCACCGACTTTGTTAGGATTCATGCTCTGGTGATATTTCGCCTACTGTTTGAGATCTTTTTTGGTCTCCTTGTTTTTAATGTCTATGACGATCTAAGAAATAAAGGAACAGTTACTTTCTCCGTTCAATAAGATTTGTTACTTGTTTACCTTTCCTGGTGTTTTCAACTCGGCAACTGTTTCTAAAGCATCATTTATACTGGACAGTCCGATGATTAGGGAACGCTCCGGACTTATTAGGCCTTCTTCCAAGAACTGTAACACGTCCTCGCCATATTGTCTACGTAATGGAAATTTAGAAATTGGCTTAATAACACTTTCTTCATCACCAATTTGTAAAAAGACTGCAAGACGTACCGATACAACATGTGATCTTTCTGTCTGTACTTCTGCAAACTGATACCGCTTAAACTGAACGATTCCTTCTCTGGCTCGAGCTGAGGATCAACTTCTGTCACAGCGACACCGGCCACTATCACGCGCCCTTCGTGACAGATACTATAATTAAATCGTCACCTTACCTTAATCGTAACATAGTTTCGAATCCAACAATTCCTTATAAATTTCTAGATATTTCCCTTAAAATATGTGGATGAAATAGTACGCCACACTTTGTTTACAAGTTTACAAAAATAATGTTAGCTGATGAAGATTATTTGTGAACATGTCTAGCATGCTACCTACAGGTGGAGCGTTAATGTGCCACAGTACCTTCTCGAGATAAATGCTGAACTACAACAGCAAAGTTGTCATTCCGTAACATATCCGTTAACAAAGACTTCGACTTGTAGATGTCGGTGAAACTAAAATAACAGAGACGAATCCTTTTCTTGTTTTCCAATAGCCTGGCACAAATTAACGCTATCCGAAGAGTGATCTTACCGATCTAGTACCTTCTTGAATTGTGCACCTTCGGCATCGGCGAAAATAGATTTTATGTTTCTTTCTGCAGCAACTACTGAAATGTGCTTCATTAATTTTTTATCATTGTATTTAAGTGCTGCATGAGCCCCTCTCTCACGGACCAAAGTTGCCAGATCTTCTGTGGCACATACGCCTATCACCTACATTACATTCATTTTGTTTCACAACAGAAAATAACTGTCTGCTAAGTGGGTAAAATCTATTAAATGTTTGAGATTAAATGACCAAACCTTAGCCCTAAATACATTTGCAGCAAGATCAGCTGCTGCCAGACCAATACTTCCTACACCAACATTTATTAAAATCATATCCTCTTCTTCAAGATCAGCATGTTTTTCTAATCCAATTAATGATGTAATATAATTTTCAAGTGAACAGACAGCATCTAGCATCTTCACGTTGGATGGTATTTTCCACACGTCCTGCCAAAGTATAAAATTATTATTAAGTAATACAGGTTACATGAATATCGTTTGTATTTATAACAATTACTCCAATTTCTGCTATACACCGATCAGCAAGTCCACCAAATCGTTCCTTATTCAGCACAGCCACCTTATCACCAACCTTGTAACTATTCTTTGAAGCATCATCGCCAAGTTCGACTATCTCACCTACCACTTCGAAACCCAAAACAAATGGTGGATTTTGTGTGCATTTATGTAAATTTTTACTTATCAATACATCTATTCCATTTAAAGCGCAATAATGTACATCAACAAGAACCTATAAAATGATAAAATTGATATAATATATTACAACCCCATGTAAGTAAATAATTATGGTTCATACAAACCTCGTTCGATTTTAATATTTTAGGTTGTTGAATGGTTTCGACAGTTAGTGCAGAACCAAATTGTTTTAAGACTGCCGCACTCATAGTATCTGATGCAGGAGTAGATGTAGCTCTTTCTGAACGGTCTTTAACTGACGGCGTATTTTCTCCAGTATCGGTAGCTCTTGTGGTGTCCGTAACTCTCGTAGTACTCGTAGCTCCGTTAGCAACAGTTCTGACTACGAGCTGCAGACTTCTACATGTTCGAAAACATGAAAAAATTCGCCGACTCACAGGTAAAGACATTGTTGAATGACGACCAAAACCTAAATTCATAAAGCCGCTACTGTAAAACCTATTATTACAGAAACTTAAATTTAAATCGAATGTCGCGAAGTACCTTCTAAAAGATCCTATGCTAATTATCATTAACTCTCGTCAGTGCGTATTAAACTATTTCAGTGATTACTATATAAATCACGATGGAAATAAATTAATATTCCGGCTCCAGTATTAGTATTTTTTAGTAATATCAAAGAATAGCAAAAAACTAGATTGCTCATATACCATATTTTACTACAATCAGCGAGTTACTGACACCTAGCGGTTTTCAGCTAAAACTGTTCCATAGTTAGCACGGACACGCTCCTCTTTGCAAGCAAATTCAGAACAGAGATAAGTTCAGAAGTAACTGGACATATCCTACAAATGTTAATAACTACAAAATATGGACCATACCACTACTACTGTAACGAGCCACTCGCACTCGGGAAACATGCTGCCATCGATGGCGCATTATCCAAGTTCCTTACTACGCGGGTAGATTCGAGACCAAGTCGTCACTACACTCTAATCACAGTTCATGGTGAAAAAATGGCGGTCGCAATATTTGAATTCATGTTGGCAACATTGTTTAGATATAATTTCTTAACCGACAATTCTTAATTTTTATGCGTCAAAGATGGTTTAACGAGGAAATGATCATTTATTGAGTACATTGAGAGAGAATTATATGAACACTAGGTCGTTATAGAATATATAATTTGGGTTACTTATAATACAAATGATAGTAAATAAAAATGTATCATAAGGTAATTAGAACATATCAGAGGAAGAAGCCCGGCAAGCAAGAGTGTAGCACTTTGAAACATAACCCAGTAACTCCAGTTCTTAATCCTATTAATATTAATCCCATAAAAGGTAAAGAAAGTGATGGATCTAAAGTAGAAAATGGGAATCATGATCATACGCTGGATTACGATCCATTTGATACCACCTTTGACAGACTCATCAAAGAAATTAAGTAAATGTTTTATAAATATTTTGCTGTGTACAATGTTGTAGCATTTCTTGTAATTATTTATCTTTATGCAGGGCTGCACCACTACCTATAACAGAAAGCTCCAACCAATCATGGTATGACAGTAGTTCCAATGATTTAACTGAAGATGATTCGTCTCGAAACATAAATCCCAAAAGATACAATAAAGTTAACGGTGTATTTAGTTGTGATCAGCAACCAACAGTTTTACAAGAATTCAGTTTTAACATTATTAAAAAGGAGCGTAAGCAACGGAAAGTTAATATCACGAAAGAAAATGTTAAGTCTGAGGGAAAAGATACAATCGTACCTAAACTTACTAGAGCAAAAAGGAAGTGCATTCCAGTAGTATTAAATGACTGTGATGATAGTTCAATTCATCCACCATGCCTTACTAAGAAAAGGGTTTTAAAAAAGAAAAAATACTTTACGGCAAAATTACAAAAGACTGAGTCTTGTGATAATTTACATATGCATTCTGAAGTATCTGATTATATTGCTGATAATGTAAAAAAAAATGACGTCATTAGTGATGCAAATACAAAAAATAAAGTTACCAGTAAGAAAAAGAATATTAAGGCAACCTCAAAAGGAAAAAGAAACGGTGTACGTAATAAGACAAAGAAACAGCAGATAGAAAATAATTCTGTTACAAATGACATTTTAATAAATAATCCAGAAATAATTACTGATTGCAAAAGTCAGTTTTGTGTTGAACCTCAATTATTATTGGATAAATCAAAACCATCGAGATCTGATGAAGTAGATTTATTCTGTCAAAATGATATTAAGTTAAAGGAAACTAAAACAGTTGATCCAAATGTCTGTGATCCTTCTGTAATGTGTAGCACACCTTTTTCTAGACACAAAAATTTGTCGGCACTATTTTCTCTGTCACCTATCACTCCTATTGATAAAACAAAAATTCAGATATCAACATTATGCCCAGAAAATAAAAATGATGTCAAGTGTTCAACATTCAAAAATACAGATTCTTATTGTTCCGTTATTGCGAATCATTCACTGAGAAGAACACCCACTGATCTGATACAACCGCTGGATTTTCCAAATACATTGGAATCAAAGATTATAAATGAGATTCCCATTTCAGTGAAACAAAACAGTGATCCTAAACTAAAAAACACACAAAATTTCCACAAAACAAGTGATAATTATGAAGTATCCAAAATTGATCAGGTATCGATATCTTCTTCACCTCAAATAAATGGCTTAATAGATCTGTCAGACAAACCGAAGCCATCCAATTGCAACCTAAATAAGAAGAAAAATGTACCTACGTTATCTTCACAGATATCACATATCAACATGCAGTCAGCTGCAGTAAATGACATAACAAGTGAAGAGTTAAAACAGCAGGAGAAAAACCTGTTGAGAATTTCTGCAGACAGTGGTAGATCTGTTTCCATGTTCAGTTACGTAGAGTCAAAATTTGACAATCATAAGTTAGGGTCACCAGAAAAACCTGAAGAAACAAAATTACAAGAACAATCGTTGCAAATCCAGCAAATTAATACACCAGATATATTGCATCCTCCTATGTCAGATATTAGTCAGGAATTATTAACACATGAATCAATGGAACCAAATTATAGACTCAGAAATGATACAACTCAGTTTTCTGTAAATAACAATACATCTGGATATGATTGTAAAGATCTCATGATGAAAGGTATCAAAGAAGCGAGTAATTCTAAGACATCTGAAAGAAAGGGAGATCTCTCGGATGAAGTAGCTATTCTGTCAGAAAAAGAGTCAAGTGTTCAATTAACAGAACCCGTTACAGCATCGAACAAAGAAACTGAAATATCAATCGATAAATCAAGAATTCAGCAAGTGTCAACGACAGAGGAATTTGACGACCTAAATGACGTTACTCATGATATTTGCAGTGAAACAAGTTTATCGATCAATAATACTCAAAACAGTAACATCCAGACAGATGCAAATTCACAGGATATGCACAGTCAAAATGTACAATCACAAATTAGTGAAATAGAAAATATTGATCATAATACTTCTACTGAAATAAGTCTACAAACTGAGGAAAGCCAAAATGTTGAAAAACAGGCAGATGGTATTAGTTATGAAGCTGATGTAAGTTTACAAAAAGATAAAACTCAAAATCATGAATCAGATATCAACTATAAAGAGACACCCAGAAGCCTTAATCCATATGTTTCATTATCACGTTTAAAAAATCGTAATAAAGTCACAGAATTCAACGAAAGCTCAAGATCTTGCAGAATTTGTACAGATATAGATACCACTGCAAACAAAATAAATATAAGTGCAAAATTGTCTATTAAGGAACCATATGTACTTTTAACATGCTTAAACGAACAGTCAGATGCTGTGCATTTGCCAACAATTACGTATAGAAGACCAAAAAGAGGTGCTAGAAGGAAAACGGAATTAACATTAATTTCAGAAAGTGTAATTGAAGAAAAGATAAATCCCACAGAAATAAATGAGCCTACTAGAGAAAAATACAGCAGATCAAGTAAATCAGGAAAAAAAGTGAATTTTGCAGACATTTCTACAAATACTGTTCCTCACTGTGATGCTGTTGATTCAGTAAACACAGTAAGCAATTCAAGCTCGGACAAATTACTCTTCCTCGCACCAGGAAAATCTTGGGCGAGATCCTTGTCCATTCTTAACAGAGTTCACAACAAAGATGACATCGAAGCACAATCCAGAGGTAAAGGCAAGAAATGGAGAGAAAGTGTTCTGTCGATCCTAGAAATGCAACGTCAAGGTAATTGTGTTATTTTGTTGTATGTCATCTGATTCATATATCAAGATTCATATATTAAGATATATTAAGTTTTGTGTCAATATTATTGTTCTTCCAAGGTTTTAACTCTCATAAGTTCAGAGTGAAGGTAGGCAAATTTCTAAACAAGAGAATAAATGAATGCCACCAGTCGAACAAACAAAATTTCATCCCGACAAGACTTAACCAAAACATTTTGTTTCCTTTACCTTTTTCAATTAGAAAACCTTTACCTCATGGTTTATACTCCACTTTATTCTTTGAAATCATACTTTTGAGATATATCTTGCATTTAAATAATTTTTTTAAGAAAATATGGAAAATGAGAAACATGCAAATGTGTGTTACTACTAGGTCGTTTTGTTCAGTAAATGGGTAAATAGTTGGTGTTAACTACTCTCTTATTAATTTTCTAATTAGTTGTTCCAAAGTACTGGAGATTTAAATAAATATCAAGAAACTTCATATTGCAGGCGCAATCCAAAGTTGCATCAAACCTAATGAAGATGACAAGGATTCACGGTCGCTCTACAAAGTACTTGACAAGTCACAATGTACACGTTATTCCAAGGAACACACAAATTTCTATTCCACAAGTCCTGGTCGATTCGTAAGACGTATTTCAGTCCGAGTTGTGCCAGACAGCAAGCTTGACCACATCAAAGATCCCCCATTCCTTGAAGCGTATGGAATTTCACCTATTAATTCAGAGAAACGGGAAAGCTCCACTATATTGTCTCCTGCAATATGTAAGTACAAAAAAATTCATGCATCATATTTTATTAGATATTATATTGACATAACCATCTGTGAATTTTAAAGATAACACTCGAATCACTAATATGTATTAAATATATTTCAGCACTTTACAAGAACTCCTTCGTTGATGTTGACTGCAATAATGTGAGTAACAAGAGCAACGAAAAAGGAACAATATACACTGCTAAGGAGGTTGTACTGCAAAGATGCAACCAAGATGATTATCTGCCATTTTCCCAGTGTTTCCCTGACTCGTCAGTATCACTAACAGTATCACGAATGCTATAAAACTATAAAACTTTAATATGATATGTGGTCAATCTCTTTGCCAGGTTCCTGGAACAGTGTCGAAAGATTGGTGAAGGTGTATACGGTGAAGTTTTTCTTCATGACGATGGAGAGAAAAAATCGGTGATTAAAATAATACCGATAGAGGGTACTAAGTTAGTGAACGGTGAGCCTCAGAAGCGTTTTGATGAAATATTATCAGAAATCGTTATTGCCAAGTGAGTTTTAAATAGTCTACCTTCTCAGCTGTGGAAGATCTAAAACAAACACCTTGACGATTTTGCACTCTTAGGGAGCTGCATGATCTTAGGTTCAACAATGAGTGTAATACCAGTGGATTTGTTGAAGTGAAAAGTATTAAGTGCATTAATGGAAAATATCCTAAAAAACTAGTGCAATTATGGCAAGCCTATGACGAGAGTAAGAATTCTGATAATGACTGTCCATCGATGTTTGATGAGGACCAATTATACATCGCACTGGAGCTTGGCAATGGTGGTCAAGATTTGGAGGCTTTCGTTTTTCACAACGCAGTTCAATCTCATGCCATATTTATACAGGTGTTATATTCTTGCGCTTAAAGTGTATTTCTATTTGTTTTTTTTAATATTCTAAGTTTTCATTTGGCTCTTTTTTCAGGCTGCACTTGCACTGGCAGTTGCGGAACAAGCTCTTGAATTCGAGCACAGAGATTTGCACTGGGGAAACATTTTGATCTCTCCCACTGAGGAGCAACATATTCACTACAGGCTTAACGATGCAGAAATTAATTGTCCCAGTAAAGGAGTTAAGGTAAAACTATGTCAAGTTATTAACAACGACGCTAAACATTGGGGTTAGTTTAGACTAAGAAGGTGAACATTTTTTTATTGAAGGTAGCGATTATTGACTTCACCCTGTCAAGAATGTCTTGTCGTGGATGTTGCATATTTAACGATCTTGCACTGGATCCTACTCTGTTCATGGCTCAGGGAGAATATCAATTCGAAATTTATAGATTAATGCGTGATAAAATCAAGTGAGTACTACACCATTTACATGATGCCCAGTGATTACGATCTTCATTGAATTTCTTAAACCTGTCGAAATTACAGAAATGACTGGCAAAAGTTCGAGCCCTACACTAACATATTATGGCTCCACTACATATTAGATAAAATGATCACTGCAGCTAGATATAAAAAAGAAACGACGAAGGTGCACAAAACTGCTATCTCAAAGTTAAAAGTGCTGAAGGATGCAGTGCAAAACTATAAAAGTGCTTATGACTTTGTTACTAACTGTGTTAAGATCCCAAACTTGGGAATACGATGTTCAACCACGTCGACTGTTACATCGGTCTAAGTGAAAATGAAAACAGAGAAGTTAACACTAATCAAACAAAGAATGTTATATTTATTTTTACGGAACAAATTTCGCGGTGTATGAATTTCTCTCCCGTATTTATACAAAATGACAAAACACCGTTTAATAAATTTATATTCCTTTTGGTTATTTGCGTATAAGAGCTTTGTTTTTATGACCATGGTACAATTTGTGTTCACCTATTTAAACTGGATTCGCTTGACAAACAGTTTCTAGAAGATGTATTGATGAAGTTGAAGGAGATGAAGATTTTTCTTCCTCTTCCACTGCACAGTGACAACATTCACAACTCTCAGAATGATTGATCCCAGAAATCAGTGATTCGTCTTTACCAATAAATATTATAAATTAAGTGTTGTCATTAAGAAACGCGTGTAAAAGAAGTTTCTAAATTACCTTCATTTTCTGTGCAAGAACAACTGCAGTCATTGGCATGCTCGGTACAAGATTCTCGTCTTGAAGAAGTATCAGAATGTGTGATACTCGGTTGTTTTAGACTCTCATCATATATGCACACCCCACACACGCATAATTCTCGCGTGAAGGTGGAAATAGAGGAAATAGAGGATCCCAAAGAATTCATAGCTTTATCCTCTTGACAAACACAGCACACACATTGGAAAGGGTGTCCTTTCTGGAGCTAATTTCCATACACGTTGCTTTACCAAAGCCTTCGATCACACTTTTCACTATTTCACATACAAGTCTACCTCCTTAGCCTACCTTGGATCTTCTTCGTTGAATTGGTACTGGAGCAACATACTTGAAGTTTACTTTTGGCTTAGCCATTCCTTTGAATTTATTTTTTATATAAGGGAGTTTCAGTGGTTGCGGGAACCCATAGTCAGGAACTTCGTAGTACAAATGTTTATAACGATCTGCAGGATAATGAGCAAAGTACCACTTTGTGTCGACTTTGTACGGTTTTACGTCCAAGTTCTCTTGTTGCAACACACCTGACACAAGCATTCGTTGGACAATCTAAAAACCCAATTACATATTTAAATTTATACAGCACTGTTGAAAAAATTCCAATATTTTACTTGAGCCGTATCATGGCCGAGGCAATTTCCAAATATTTGCAAGTGACGCATTTGATAAACTTTCTTTAGTGAATTCAATATATCCACTGCTCCTGTGTCAGTAATTCGATTGTAGGAAATATCGAGTATTCTGATTTTTGAGAATGGCAAGCTGAAGCTCAATGACCTGTTTTAAAGAAATAAGTCAAATTCCTATGAACTGAAATTAATTAAACGATCTCCACGTACCTGGCACCATAATTGGTTATAATATTGTGACCCAGGAAAAGTCCTCGCAAAGACGGTTTCTTGGCAAGCCAGTTACTAAGTACATCTGCTCCATGATCTCCGATGTTGTTATTACTTAGATCCAGTAAATGCAGCGTTTCATTACGTGTTCCATCGATCAGCATAACCTCGATATCATGGCAGGAGAATCCATATTTCTGAAGGTGTAACTCCACTAAACTTCTGTTATACTGTGCAGAAATTTGTAAAATTTCGTAAGGTGATATTATTCAATTGATAGTCAGCCATTACTCGAAGCATGGCACCAATCTTCTCAGCAAAGTCAGATGTGTCAATGAAATACATGTGTGCTGGATTTGGTCGACTAATATTTAAGATCTTCAGAGTTTCATTGTAGACATCCTGGTTCCATGACATTACAGTTGTAAACCACACTAAACTCGATGTACTTTGATCAATTTCTGCAACATCCAAATGTCGCAGGTATGGATTTCTCAACAAAGTCAACGCCAGCTGTTTTGCACTCTAAAACACACATTCTCACTGAATCTTCTATATCTAAAAAATAATGATCTGTCCAGTTATCAATATTGATTCATAGTTACTTCAGCTTTAATTTTGTTTCCATTCAACCTAAGGATCTTTAATCGTAGCCCCCCGATACAACACAAATGATTAATCCCTGGCCCACAAATGTCATTATTTTGAACATCGAGTTCCACTATATTATTATATTCCTGGAACAAATAATTGTAAGAATATCCAGTTCCTGACGAGTATCTTAGTCTGCACTAAAAGGTTTACTTTTATGTGATCGATGAGATTTATGAAACCAGCACACCGAATCCTATTGTACGGTAACCTAAGAGACACTACATCTTGGTTGCTCCGCAGGAAAATTGTCAAATGAGGGATATCCCAATCTTCAAAACGCCTCCTACAATTAAAGAAATTTATTTCAGGGATATTATTAAAATGACTAAGTTTAATTTTAAATTATTCTTGTACCTAACCTTATTCTGGGCAGTAAATCGTTTCCGTGCAAAGTTAATCTCCTCGTGCCATCATATCGCTTTTCACAAAAACACGAAAAGAAAAGGCTGTTCATTTCCATTTCAGCATTGTTGGATAAAAACCGTTTAGGAATGTCCGGTAAAATCGCATAGTTTCTATCGTTGTAAAAATACGGACACTCATTCGTTTCCCAATGCATCAAAGTATTTAATTTACTTTCTTCTTCATCACCTTCTTTGTAGCAGATTTCAGAAACTGAAGTGTCGATTATTAAATTGCGATACACATCGAGCTTTATTTTTTCTTTCCTAATTCGTCGAGATGTTTGCTTAGCCTTGATTTGATCAGAGTTTTTCTGACGCAGAGCTTTATCGTTATTTAGAAACTCCTTTGCCATTTCGTCAATAGAAATCTGCAGTGTCGAAGTCATGATTGATTTTATCAATTGACAGGTATGTAATCTGCTTCCGACATTTAAAATCTTTATAACAGTTGACTGTTAATTACAGAAATTTCATTTGAGGAACAAATGATGGAAAACCACACCCTGGGTAGACCGATACAATTCATCAATCTATCAATAAAATAATCAGTCACAGTCATTATATGTACAAAGTTTACTTCTGATTTCTTTTATACTAGCACTTCGCTCTTGCGCGTGGCGAGACTGTAACTACATATTTACACTATTCGCTTACATATAACTTTCAATCGCAAAGATAACGATTCAACACACAGCCTTGAAGATTTAAGTAATTCAACACGAATAGCGTACGATCTAAAACGCAAATCGAGTAAAGAAGTTTTAAGTTTCTCGCGCGCCAATAAACACATTCGAGCGTGAGTACATCGTTCGACTTTTCATCGGTTCCCCTGAATTTCGACTGCATTAACATTTTTCTTAGAACGAATATAAGACTAGAAATTATTAAACATGTTAATCAAATAACAGAGCTAAAAATAAAACGAATCCCAAATCCTTGTTGAGGTTAAAGGCACTCGAGTAACAAAAGAATGGCTGCATGCATGAAATATAAACGACTGAACGAACGTTATAATAATCTACCTAAAATTTGCATTGAATAATCTTTCGTGGAACAAGATAGCAACCTTCGATATGTATCCGCAATGTTATAAAAAGTGAAAGCAGAAGCAAGACTGCAGAGAAAAGAGTTCATTTTTTCGCTGCAGAAACCTTAAAGGATGAACTTTATGATTCGTTACTCTTGCGACACAGCCGTTAACCCGAATTAATTACTTCAACTTTCGACTAAGATTTAACGAGAGCAAGGGACGATGTCCACTTCCCGATGTTATCCGTAGCATAAACGTGCTTCGAACGATCTAATATGTTTATGAAAACCTTAAGCGTTATTTTGTATCCACTTAAAGCCATCTCTGACGTTACCGAGAGTGACTCTACCGAGGAAACTAGCGATCAGCTGATATTCCGGCATTGTGCGACGTCCACAGGAACGCGTTGACATTGTCCTGTTGTAAGTTTGCGGTCCACTGTGCCCACGCTTCTCTTTCTCGTAAAGTGTTTCAGGCTGATTCAACGTAATCACGTGTCCTTCGCAGAGAACTTTTGTGGTCAAGCACAGAAGCCACTGCAGAATCTACAAATCGTTACCCAATATGACGAATTAACATACGTAACTACTTAACCTTCTCCGTGAGAAAAATTCCGTTTCATGCAATCAACCACAAAGGGAATTTAAACACTTCCTAGAATTATTCCTACCTCATTACTGGACGGAATTTTACCCTCGTTCCGGAACCACGAGCTCGGGGCCCAAAGATAGAGTTGCATTATCGTAGCTGCCATTTCTGCACTGAGCCGCTGAAGAGATGATACAAAGTAAACATAGTATTCCTGATCGAGGTTATGAAGAAAGGTTAAAAAGAATTTTGTAACCTACTCTGTAAAGGCTTCGGCTCAACATATTTTTAACCACCGCAGCTATGATTAGTGGAACGGACTCAGGAAGTGGCGGAAGTGCGGCCTCATCGTAATTGTAATTTTTCAGCGGTGCACTTTCAGTACCGTCTCCATAAAATGGATTCTTTAAGCCGAATATCTCATATGCTATCGTTCCTACAGTCCATAGATCAGCCTTGGTGTAATTAATGCTAGTGAAAGGACCTGGTTCTGCAGTTACCACTTCCGGTGCCATAAGGGCAGCATTGCCACCTTTGTCGATGTCATGTGTATTATAAGGTAAGTACAAGCCGTGAGTTTTATCTGCGAGGCAGCAACCAAAATCCGTGATAACCAAGGAAGGACAATTATCGGACTCCTCGGAAAGATCAAGGAGGATATTGTCACTTTTAAGATCCCTGTTGAACGTTGCAAAGATGTATTAAGTGTACGTGCATACATACCATACATACAGAATTTAGAGTGATCCGATCCAGTCACTTGACACTCGTGATCATGTTAAAACAAGTATCTTTATAGCACGAGTCGACTTACCTGTGTGCAATACCGTGACTGCTCAAGTGGGCCACTCCCTCCAACAGTTGAGCCAGCAATAAGATCGATTCTCTTGTGTTCACTTCTCGGTTTGCCATATACTGTTTCAAAGTAACATCATACCTGAAATTAAATAAAATGACCACCTTAAGTTCAAATTCTAACACATAAGACATAACTGGATGGCCAAAGTCGTTCATACCTTTTCATCAAAAGGAATAAACTCATATTTCTGCCAGACCCATCTGGGTTGATTCGTGTAGGCAAAGCATCTGGATACATTCGCGATGAACCAGGCAGAGAAGGCACTCTGTCGGCGAAAACGTAATACATCGCAACAATATTCGGATGAGGTGGTAACGATCTTCTACTATTAGCCATCTTTTGCTCCCATTCAGCTAACTCTTCATTCTGATATTGCTTTCTGGCTGGTACAGTTTCTCGATACATGGCTCTCAAGATTGCAAAAGCGTTCGATTCGACATCGTAATTGAACATCATTTTAATGGCCAAAGGGAAAGAAAATAGTCCAGAGGTTTTATCATCCAATGTTACCTCCTGGTTCTCTGAGTACTGATTAGAATCCTTTAAACGTGCCGCATAAACTACTGCGGAGCAACCTTTAGCTATGATCGGACCTATTACAAAGTCCTTTAAGGTTGCAGGGTTACCTTCATTCATGGTCCTTTCGTAATTCTTGTCGTTACACGGTTTGTTCCACCGCACCTTCGATACAGCCTCCTGCATTAATATAGACATGTATGATATAGACGCAGACAATGAACATTGAGATTTCTTTGAAATACTAACCCTGATTTCCCAACAGACACCTTCCAATTCATCTTCCTTTGTAAGAATCCCAGTACCAGAAGCCAATGATACTCCAACGAGTGCAAAGAACGGTGCAGAATCGCCAAACAAAAGACGACTGGCTGCACGTCTTCGCAGATCTGCAGCGAGGCTGTTTGTCACTCGTTTTAAGATATTATCAACAAACAGGCGTCGAGCTTGGGCTCCAAAGAAGCTAAGATGACCTGTGTTCTTTGCGACATTGCTGCCACCCTCGGGCAACGGGCCCTGGGACCTTCCTATAATTAACAATCACAAATCCTTGAAATTATATAAACGAGCTTCTTCTCCCATGATCATAGCTTCATAAAACCCCAACAATATTCCGCACCTTCACCAGGCTTCTCCTCAAGCCATTTCCAAAACTACGTTTGCAAGCTGCTTAATTCCAAAATGTACAAAATTGAAATAAAAACTAATTTTCATAGGAAGAAGAACAGAGCATAACTGCCACACACGTTAAAAGTGAAATTTTTAAGTTGTAGAATTATTAGACATCAATTATTCTTCTAGTCCTATCATTCTTACTTCACTTCAAACGTCAATATTTAACTAACAGAATAGCTGAAGCTAACAAAACCTTTTTCACAAATTGTCTCGATGCTACACTCAAAGGTAGATATAAATAGTAACAATCTATAAAAATGAATTCCACGCAAGTTTTGTCAATACCAAAAGCACAAAGCTGATGTAAACAGTAATTAAGTCCAAACAAAAGGCTTTTTACATTCTGATTCAGATAATAATATACAAACTTACAGGTACTACCGTGTGATAAACAATTTCAGTTCAAAAATCTGAAAACGTTTATTCCATACAAAAACAACAAACTGTCCGCAAACTCCGAGGTAATACATAGCTTACACTAGTCTATAGTGACGCATCGTCGAGACGTTACGTCTCACGGACATCATGTTTATATATGTCACCCAAAGGACAGCCCTCGGTTAAATGCGTACAGACACGTTCGATCGATATAACAAAAGTAACGAAGATGTAACAAAAGTAATTACCTGCTTGCGCAACGTGTATTTTGCCGAACGGGCTCCCGGGATTGTAGCTATTGTACCTATGTTCCGGATTTCTGACAGAGCGTAGAAGGACCCGACCATTTTGTATGAGACGGTAGGCAGCCGTCCGTATAGACATCTCTCCGTAATCCTGGGCCGGGAGAGCCCAGCGGGCCAAGGACTCACCCCAGAGGAGCGACCTGAAGGCGGCGAGCAGCTCCGCCGACAAGACCTCGACGTCGACCCGAGATGCACGCATGAACTCGCATCAACGCGCCCTAACCTAGCAAGACCCGCAAACCTTAACCCGAGCCTGTTCGACCCCTCGACGAGTCGATCCGTTCCGATATCTCGAGACTGTCGCGAACGTGCGCATCGCTCGTCCACGAGACTGCTATCCCCTCTAGAGTCACGTCGCGTCACGTCGAGTTACGTCGAAGATTAAGATAGATCGAGACGGTAGCGAGTCGATTTACATATAGTTGCATATAGTCCATGAGAATGGATCTTCTGGATCAATTCCGATCGATATAAAACAGCTGATCTAGTATCAAGGGTAATACGCAGATGGTTAGTTTATTGTCAGATGCCGACAGGTTTATAAGAACTGACGCACGGTGCCATCTTGCGGGAATCGACGCGTACTATTAACATTGAAATTAGAGTTCTAAACGCGGTAAGTTACGTTAGGAACGATGAGAAATTCCCGGTAACTTATCGGTTATTTCTCCAAAGCTTTTTTATCGAGAAATTAAGAGAATTTAAATTTTTACGACAGAGCGAACGAGAGGTTCCAATTAGCTATAGAGAAACATCGGTGAGGGGGAATTTCCGTTGTACGTTCTCAGTAACCAATAAAAACTTTTCATTCGCTTTGTTGCGCAACCCTCCTCGGTAACTTACGGTATGTTTCACAGTTACCTTCTGCAATTTTATGTTACCGGAAATTTTCGAACTTTACGTACTGTCATCTTACGGGTAAACTGCTAACTAAACCAACGCTCTGGCGCCATCCAACACCTAACAGCTCAAACAGATACATTTTCTGACAGATTGTAAACTTCTTTTTATATAACTTAAAAAGTTGATCTCCAACGAATCAATTTTATTAATATTAAATGAAGCCTACTAGATTATGCAATTCTGATTATGCAGTCTTTTTTCGTCTTCACATCCGTCAAAGTAATAAATGAAGGATTGAAATAAGTATTATTTATGTATTTATGAAATTAAGCGTCACCTTGTCTTACTATTTATGGTTCTCAAGTTCTTGCTGACGAGTCAGATTTTCCATGATAAGCAGGTTTTTTTAACGAGTCATAACGAAACTGCCCTGAAGAAATCTTCAGCCAATATTTCGGGTCCCTAGAAATCAACATAACTTAATATTTATTAACATTTTGAGCGTTTTATCCTGTGTGGCTTCCTTACATTAAACTTAAGGTTTACGTCAGAATCATAAGTATGTATACACATAAATGCGTTGTTAATGAGCTTTCCAAAGCATAATGGTCATGGACGTATTCAGATTCTTTCGGAATCAGCAAATACTTGTTCGAATCCATTAACTTGAAGGTACTCGGAGCAAGATAATTGATAAATAAATCAACATTAACGTATCTCGTGAATCTCGCGTTAGAAGGTCAAGCTTTCTGAAAATCCGACATATTCAAAACCCTAATTAATTCATGTCTCCAAATAGTTTCAGATGAACTGTTTGATATTTTAATGTACGACCCACCGTGTATACTATTCCCTGCAATATTACAATAACCTGATCCGTTTAATCGCGCCGGATTTCCTCGAAATTGTGACTGCCCTTTGGACTCGACAAAACTCGCAAGTGAGAGTTGGCGATTGCGCTAAAGACCCGATCTTGTATTAAAAAAAAGAGTTATCCACAGGTATGTCCGGAATTCCTTATCGATTACCTCATAATTGTACATAATTATGAACTCGTACTGAGAGATCGTATGAACTTGTCGATAAAAACGAACTCCTCATAAAAAATCGGCCCGAATCGAAATAATCGAAATTATAACTTACGTGAAAAGACGAACAAATATCCCCCGTTAAAATGTACAATTATAATTAAATACGTAACCTTCATAAGTAATGCCATGGTGTAATTTTTGTTTTTAAAGTAAATTGTGAGTTTGGTAAGAACGGAGTGATAGCATATCTGAGTCGGTAATTGCAGGATGTCGGTAACATCGCGAAGTTTCGGCAATCATTACTCGCAGGCACGTGAAGAGGTAATGGTCGCCGACGGGAAAGGGTTGCCAGTCCACACTCTTTGCGGATGTGCATAGGAATATTACGACACATCGAAGTACACCGGGTCAGGTTAGTCGCGGAATGTTGCTGATTCGCAGCAGCTGATTCGAGGGATTAAAGGTGGTCTCCCCACTACCCATACATTCTGCACTCCGAAGCGATAGCTAGTTCATCGGGCGACTCGTTCGTCGTGACACGGAGCATCCTGGTGGTTACCTGAAGGAATGGCGCCGACACTGAGTAAACTCGCAACGAGACGCTCCTTGACAGGCGCAGTGGCGATCGGCGTCTTTGTCTGGCTGCTCAAGAAGAGAGCTAGAAAGCCTCCTGCCCGAACAAGGTGATTGTCGTATCATTGTCTAAGTGAGTGTTTGGGAAAAATTGGATTTCTTGGTCACCATCGGCGTTTGCTTTTCAGAAACGCCTATCCTACGAACGATATCCACTATGTCATCAAGGAGGTAAAGGATCGTCGATGGGTTCTAGGCACTTTAAAAGCATCGCAAGAGTTACAGTGAGTTTTCTGCCACAGGAGAGGCCTAAAGGTCCAAAAGCGCAAGTCAATGCCACCTTCTTTCGACAACTACGCCAATTGCTCTCCCTTGGAATCCCGGGTCTCTTCTCCGCCGAGGCAGGATTCATCGTCCTGGTTGCCTTTTCTCTCATCTCCAGGTCTCTCTGTGACCTGTGGTTGATTCATATTACGACTATGATCGAGAAGTGAGTTAAACTCTTTGTAATACTTTTCCATTGTACACGGTGGATTTGAAGTGGTCTTCACGTTCAGGTTCTTGTTACAGCTGCATCGTTAACACGAATAGAGAGTTGTTCAAGAAACGTCTCGTCACGCTGTTATCCGTTATACCATTGGTACGTGTAGCTGTTGATAAATGTTGTGGTTTTGTAGTAATTATTTGGTTTTTAAATGCAGGTTTCTGTCGTGAACAATGTGTTGAAATATAGCATAGGGGAAGTGAAACTGAGGCTGAGAACGAACATCACTCATCACTTGTTGGATCAGTACCTCAAGTAAGTTCGAGCTTAGATTCCTCCTTGTGTTTGTAATGTTAAATATAATATTGCAGTCGCAGTATTATGTTTTGTGTTCCTATATTAAATATGTAGCACTTTCATTCATGAGCCTGTTTCAATACAATAGGGAGTCAAAGGTGAAAATTCAGCTTTTATGTTTAGTAGCCATTGGGGATGAACAGATAATCTAAAAGTCATTCTTGTTACGTAATCGTCTTACATAGTTACCGAAATTCTTTGGCTCCTACTATATGTACCGTATCGTGTATTTTGCATGACCTTGAAATGTACCACCTTTATTAACATTTAAGCATTATCTGTGGAATTTTAAGCAAATCATCATTTTAGAGGCTTCACTTACTACAAGATGAATAATTTGGATTCTCGAATCGCAAATCCGGATCAGCTGCTGACAACGGACGTGGATAAGTTTTGCGACAGTTGTACAGATCTGTACAGCAACATTGCCAAGCCCGCTTTAGACATTTGTATTTACGTTTATAGACTTACTTCTAACCTTGGTGGCAAGGCAAGTAGATATCCACTTTATCAGGCATTTTGTATATATTTTCTCCTGATTACATTGCTTTACATTCAATTTCATTACAGACACCACTGTTAATGTTGACGTACCTGATTGCGGCAGGAGGTTTCTTAACGCATCTTCGCAAACCTTTAGGACAAATGACTGTAAAGGAACAAAAGTTAGAGGGAGAATTTCGTCATATTAATTCTCGCTTAATCACCAATTCCGAAGAGGTAGCCTTCTATCAAGGAAACACACGCGAGAAGTTAACATTACTTGCTAGTTTCCATAAACTGGTAAGTGTATACAATTAAGAGTATAAAATGCTACGGAACTAAAATATTTAAAATTCTTTTAAATATTAGACAGCACACCTACGAAAGCTTCTGGAATTCAGAGTCATAATGGGTGTAGCAGATAACTTCATTGCTAAGTGTAAGTATATCAGGTTAAGTTTTACGACATGTGTAACGATTTCCTAATAATTTCTGTTTTATGATTACAGATTTGGCGTCTATTGTGGGCTTTTATGCTGTGAGCATACCATTCTTCGAAAAGAACCACCCGATTCTTTCAGGGTCTACTGATCATCGATTTAGAAATTATTATGAGTACGGTCGAATGTTAGTAAAATTAGCTGAGGCGATAGGCAGATTAGTTCTCGCTGGCAGAGAAATGACAAGACTAGCAGGATTAACGGCAAGAGTAACGGAAATTAAGGATGTTCTGCGTGACTTGAACAATGGGAAATATCAGCGAACAATGGTCACAGATGCAAAGACTAGCTCGATCGGTGCTCCTGGTGCTGGAACGATAATACCCAGAGATAATATCATTCGCTTCGATAAAGTCCCATTGGTTACACCAAATGGTGACGTGCTCATCAGAGAACTTACATTCGAAGTGAAATCCGGAATAAATGTACTGGTCTGTGGCCCTAATGGCTGTGGAAAAAGTTCCCTTTTCAGGATACTCGGTGAGGTAAGTTAGCCGAATGGAGCTTTGGAACCGGTTATTTTGCGTCTATGCGTAAACTAAACATTGCGATTGCAGTTGTGGCCAGTGTGGGGAGGTACGATAACAAAACCACCACGTGGAAAGCTATTTTATATTCCACAAAGACCGTACATGACACTGGGTACGTTACGCGACCAAGTAATTTACCCACATACTCAGGCCGAAATGATACGGAGAGGTAACGCGAAGGATGAGGATCTACAAAAGTTCCTCGATTTAGTTCAACTGAACCATTTGCTTGAAAGGGAAAACCAAGGAAATAGCCATGGACAAGGTTGGGACACCGTAGCTGATTGGATGGACGTTTTGTCTGGAGGAGAGAAACAACGAATTGCGGTAACACTATACTTCTGATATCATGATATTGATCGTTTTTTTCCATTTCTGGTTACGATAACGATTCCTCCTTTTTGAAGATGGCAAGGTTATTCTACCACAAACCGCAATTTGCAATTCTGGATGAGTGTACGAGTGCTGTAAGCGTCGACGTTGAAGACTCTATGTACACATACTGTAGAAGTGCCCAAATTACGTTGTTCACCGTCTCTCATCGTCGATCTCTGTGGAAACACCATGAGGTACTGTTCCACGTTACCGATTATATTCCTTCATCGGGCATATTTACCCTTTTTCATTTTCAGTATTATCTACAAATGGATGGTCGAGGGAACTTCGAGTTTCAGCCCATTCAACCGGACACTGAAGAGTTTGGTTCGTGAATCCTTGTGTCCCTTGCGTCGATCGGTTCAGCGTAATGCTTGACTTTATTTGCAAGGGACAGTTTCGACAGAAATACAGCAAGGATAGCAGCGAAAAGTTCTGGGCAAATTAGGCAAGCTAGGTCACAAACTGGCGTTGCAGCCGAAAACGACGTCCTTCAATGTGCCAAACCTGAGCAGGGTTGAACCTTTGAAAGAAGACATGCAACGAGTTGACAACATTAAATGCATAGATCAAACCAAGATCCGCGGTTGAAGGCGCGCTTGGCACACGTGTGTCTTATATTTTTCTATCGGTCTTTTTATATAACATCAATATTACGACCATAAACATTTACGCGCACACAACCAAGTACGCACTTAGTGGTACCGGGTAGTTGATAATTTTTCTATCTACATCTCTCACAATCTGCAACGTAGACGTCACTATTGACAAGTATCCTTCCCTTGCTCTCTGCATATATTATGGAGGGAAATTTTGGAAGAGCTTTTCACAGAATATGTCATGAAATCCAAAAATCAGGATACGGCGTACATTCAACAGTGGCTACTTTATATTAACAGCCTGCACTTGAACCATCTTATACGTCGTATCTTTGGTTCCATTCTTTTGGATTCCACGGCGAATCCGATGAATCAGTTTCATCGGATAACAATGTCTGTATCGAACAAAAACTATCACCCGATAGGTATAGGCCCACAAGTTACAGAAAGCAATTCACCTTATCCCTTACTTCAAGTAATCGAACCAGAACTATGGAGCATGCTAATTTGTATATAACTTGATTCCACTATAAGGGACAGTCTAAAAATGTCACATTACCGATTATCATGTGTCGATCACATTGGATAGCTATTGCCAAGAGATATATTTACGGGATTGCTGGACAATAAAAATACCAAGAGAACGGAATAAAAACTCGACACGTAAACCTTAACCATTCCTCTCTCCAATCATCCCCCAGCGGTCGAACTTTGTTTAGAAAGTCCATGAACAAACATCCTTCCTTCGTAACGGTCCAAAGATCTATTCCAACGGAAAAGAAACGCGACGCGTCACTGCGTTACCGACGACGAGTCCCGACAAGTCGGACACGTGACTCGTTTCCTCCGCCGCAACGGCACTGGCAACACTAGTGCAATTTCACTTAACGAGGCAGAGCTTCAGTGATTGGTTCACATCTTCCAGGCCCATAGCCAGTACATGTACTATGAAAGTCACCCCTAACCCCAAAACCTGTACCAAAGGATCTCATAAAATCTCGATACCACCTCCTGGATCGCCATGCATAACCTCCGTCATAACCTCCCGTTCCGAGTCATGGATCCAAGCCTATTCTCCCAAATATTCCCTTGATTAATGTCAATTAATATCAATCGAAAAACGCTTAAGTAGAACGAAGCGAGGGGCCCGTAGAGCGCATGCGCGGCCCTGGGCCCCGGCCGGGCGACGAAGTTCTCCGATTGGTCGAGCAGACGCGGCGCCGGGAGCGCCCTCGCGGCAGTGGCCGGCGGCTCGCAGGGGCTCGGCAGTCAGTCGCAGGGAAGGCGCGCTCGCGGTCGGGCCGTACCGTCTGTCAGCAGAGGTCAAGGAAGGCCCAGGGGATCCGAAGGCAGGTGGGGCGCTCGGGGCCGACGGTCGACGCGGCGTACATCCGGGGCGTACCTCCGGGCGGTGCCGGTTGGGCATCGATCGGACGTCCGGGCGTCTGACGCGGCGGTGCCGCGGCCGCTCGCAGGTGCAGGTGTGCGCGGGTGCGTCGCCGGGGGGAGCGGGAGGGACGGAGGGCGCCATGGACGGCAGCTCGGAGCCGCCGTCGGACGTGCAGGCGGTGGGCAGCGAGAGCGAGCCGCGAGGTCGGGAGGGCGATGGCGGCCGCGGCGACTCGCCCCCGCCATTGGCCGAGTCCGAATTCCGGCCGGCCAGGAGCGCCGCCGGCTCGCTCCCGGGGTGTGGCTGCGTCGGCGTGCCCGAGGATATCACCCTCACCGTTACCCCAACCACCGGCGGCCAGTTCGACCTGACCATCGACCGCGCCGAGACCATCGAGAACCTCAAGAAGATCATCTCGAAGCGGCTCAAGGTCGCCAAGGAGCGCATCTGCCTGCTGCACAGGGAAAGGTACGTTGGCCCCGTGAGAGGGCCCCCCTCCGCCCGGGGGGGCCGAGTACTCGCGGACCTGGCGCGACCTTCGCATCGATCGCGTCCGCGCACGACTCGCCCGACTCGATCGCGAGCACGCCCCAAGAGAGAGAGGCGAGACGCGCCCTGAAACGACCGCTTCTCTGGGTTTGAGTAGCTCCTTGCCTAAAAATCCCATGAAAAATTCCCTGAAAATCCATGATCGGGGGTTAGGCTAGTTTTTCGCCCTGAAGTACATAAATCTGGACTTAAGAAAGAAATAGAGAGGGAGAGAGACTCGATCGCGATCACGCCCCGAGGGAGAGAGAGGGAGAGAGGCGAGACGCGCCCTGAAACGACCGCTTCCCTGGGCCTGAGTAGGTACCTTGCCTAAAAATCCCTCGAAAATTCTTCATCGGGGATTGGGCAAATTTTTCACTCTCGGGTACGTAAAACTTGGGTTCGAGATAAGGAGAAAGAGATTCGATACGAAAGAGAGAGCGGTTAGACCCGCCCTGAGACTTTCGGCTTCCCTGAACCCACGCTGTGCCTTGTTACGTGCTCGCCCAAAGATCCCACGAAAATCCCCAATCGGATGGCGCACATTTTTCGGTCTCCCTCCGTTTCTCTTCTTTACGAGTTCTCGGAAAGCGAGCGGGAGAAAAAGAAAGAAGACTCGATCATGGGCATACCAAGAGAGAGGCAAGACGCGCCCCCGAGACTCTCAACTTGCCAGCTCCTGTCCTGCTGTGGGCTCGCAAAAAAAAAAAAATGGCGTGAAAATACCCAATCGGCTTGTCTTCACGTTTTTCAAGTCTTAAGAACCCAAACTTCGCTGCGTATTCTTGCCGCGACCCTCGATGGCGATTCACCATGCTTAACGAAATTTCTTTCTTAAGACCCGTTCTCATGGCGCGATTTTCGAACGTGAATCAGTTAACGGAATATGGACCGTGCCGTGCGAATTCAAATGAATTAGTTAATGCGATACAGATACGCTATAGCGTTAACTATTGTCAAACGTAGTCGTGTTCACCCTAGGCAACGAAACTTCTCCCTTTGGCTCCGTTCACGTGACGCGATTTTCGAACGTTAATCGGCTAACGCAACGTGGACGCGCCGTTGCGTCGACTGTCGCGAATTAATTATTGCGATCCGGCTTTGACGTTCCGTTAACTAACGCGAATTAGTTAACGCAACGTGGCCGTTTCCGTTAACAGACCTTCGAGAATGCTGTTTAAGGGCTGGCTCTTGAAAACGGGCGTCCCTCGGGCGTTGGGAACCGGCGTTATCTCAGCCTTTATCTGGCTTTGCCGAAGCCTAACCTCAACTTCGTCCCGACTTCGAGGAAACGTGTCGTATACGTCCAGCTCGTAGGGTGACGCGTACCGTTCGCTCCTCACGATGAGTCTGGAATCTGGACGTCCAGGGAGGGAGAGAAAGAGAGAGAGAAAGAAAGAGATAAAGGGAGAAAGGTGAGTCTTCTACTCTTTCCCGGTAGATTTGCATACCGAGGTCGCAACATCCGTGAGTTTAAAGAGCCCTGCCCTGGAGGCGGTGATACGGGGATAAAAGGGAGGGCATTTCCGTTCCAGGCCGCGCTGAGCTCGCGACTTTTATCGCCGCCGAGACGCGGACGAAAGTCAAACTAGCGATTACAGCCTCGATTACGTGGATTGGGATCTCCAGTTTGATTTAATTTAATTTTTTTTTTTTATTTATCTTGTTTCATCGAAAATAGCGACGTATCAAGTCGTGGGATGTTCGCAGGAATTCATTGTGCACGGGAATTCGACTGAAATAGAATCTCTGGTACCTTCTGAGAGGGCGTTACATACGTGTATATTTTCGAGCGAACTATTTATTCTTTGAATTGACAAAATACGCCAGGGGAACTCCTTTTCTCCGTGCGTGTACTTGGCGCGGAACTCTACCGAGTTTCTTGGTCAGCCATTGAGTTGTCGTTGTTCTTCTGTTACCGAAGATACTCTTCGCAGTAATAGCCTGAATGTTCCTTCGAATTTCCTCGAATTCTCGACTTATGTCCAGTTTGGCGATCACTGTCTCTTTCTCTCTCCCTCTCTCTCTTCGGGTATAGCCTGAACGTCGGTAACGGTGTACATGGAATTTCAGGGGGAAGGGGGGGAAAAAAAATGGAAACAAACATCTGGGAGAAAAAGTGTCTCCTGGCTTCGGCTCGGTCGCTCGAGGGAGGAGAAGAAAAAAAAAATGGCACGCTCCTGGAACGGCCGACGCCTCGACGCGTGTAGGCGGCGGAGGCGGCGACGGAGTTCTCGCTCCGTCTCTCTCGCGCGCCCGCATCGCCCGCGCTCGCGGTCTCGCTCGCTCCCACGCGCCGCCCGCTCCCGGCCCTCTCTCGGGAAAACGCATCCGCCAAGTGGAACGACGGTGGCAGTCGCGCTCGGCCGTCCCTCGGCCCGAAGGCAGAAGTGGCGTTGCTATTCCCGTACTTCGACTGGGGTTTTTCTCGCGGCCGAGAGCGGGCCGGAGCGAGCCGAGCCCCGATGCGTGTTACCGATCGGTCCGGGCCGGGGCTGTCTCACTTTTTCGCCCCCTCCTTCTCCCACGTTCTGACTCTTTTCTGGCGGTGTTATTGTCGGGCGTACGATTCCGATCGAGAACGCCCTCGATTTGGGCAAACTTTGTATCCCTTAAGGTGATAGGGGGAAAGTGGCATTCAATGTATCGAGACGTTAAGGTGATAGGAAATGTCGAATTCTATGTATCAAAACGTTAAATATCTATTATACTTTTCTCTCCAGAGTGGGTGCATCGAATTATTTGAAACTTCAGCACGTGATTGCGAAGGTCCCGAGGAAGGACGCGATGCTCGTAAAATTTCATTTTTCGCAAGAAACAAAAAATTTCTTTTTTCTTTTTCCGACGCTAGAACCATGATCACATTTTTTTTTGTTCCCCTGAAAAATGAAATTTCACGAGCATGGCGTTCTTCCTTCCTCAGGGCTTCCATGATCTCGTGATAAAGTTTCAAATGATTCGGTGCGCCCAGTTTGGAGAAAGGTTTTATTTTGACGTTTTATATATATAGAATGAACCTTTTGTAACACCTTCACATCTCTTATAACACGAGACCCTTAAAATTTCCACACAACGCTGTGAAATAATTGCGACAACCCCCCCCCATAATTCAGTTTCAATGAAAAGTGCTCCAACTTGGAGATGTAATGGCACGAATTTTTCCGTTATATCATTTCGTTTGAAATATTTGTTGAATACCGTTTCGATGGTAGCACGGCATTCTGGGAACACGGTTTCGATATAACGCAGGACGGATTAATCGTGTTATGGGAGGGTTCGGTGTATGTTCCTTTGAGTTCTCCGTTTCTTGCGCTCCTGTGTCGAGTCTCTCGCTCGCCGTCTCACTCTCTCACGTGCTATTCCCCTTTCGCCCTCTCTCTCTCCCTCCGTCACGCGGTGCGCCCCGGGCCACTCGCTTAACCGGCTGCGCCAAGGATCGGGGATAGGCGCAGGTTGTGCCGGCGGGTCAACGCGGGTTACCGCGGGCTATACATCGTTGGGCGGCAAGCAGGGTTGGGTAGTAATGCGTCATTTGAAGGTTTTTTTTTTCTTTTTTTCTATATAAACGTAAAATACTTATGGGAAGTATTTTACGTAACATTCAAGTAAAATACCTAACAAATTGTTCGACAAAGATGGCGGTGCTGTAACCTCACTTTATTAAAATGGCTAAAGTATAAATCACTTGTTAATAGACATTTTAGTAAAAAATAAAGGAATAAAGAATAATAGCAAGTAGGAGTAAACCATTAAAAAGATCTAGGCTTCGACATTCTAGGTTTCCATATGTTCATAACAGTGCGTATCAGTTCGTATGGCCGTTAGAAACGGGAACAGTAAATCCAGAAACATAAAGACCCATGTAATTTACATCACGTATGAAACTGCAGTAAAATACCTAGTAGTTTACTGTAAAAAACCATGTAAATTATCTGGAGTATTTTACTTAACCCCAACCCTGGCGGCGAGTCGCGCCTCCTGGCCGGTAGGAGGACCGTAGCCGTGCCCCGGCGATTTCGGCGCGCCACCATCTTGCGTTGGGATACGTAAACAGGGGGGTTGTGGAGGGAGAACCTCTTACACTTCCTTCTTTTTTTCTACCGTCCTGTCGACAGAGTTCTAAGAAGCGACACTTGCGATATTTGCTATACGGATTAAACGGCACGCTCTGTCGAGTTTCGCGGAAGGGAGACTCCGGGAACGCTAGGAGCTAAGAAATAACGTACGAAAGTTAACGCTCGGTTACTTTTCACGGGATTTTCGGCGGGGTCGTGGGAGAGCGGACTTTTCGAACGAAGATGCGTGCCGCTCCTGCGCTTCAGTGTTCCGCGTTACCGCGCATGCCCGCCGCCGGGTGGCGTGACCGTTTCTAGGGATCGAGGTCTGCGGCTCTCTCGGTGCGGACTCCATTCATAAATTCGTAGATAGGTTCGCAGGGAGGTTCGGCGGTGGCTTAACCGAAAGTCAAAAGGGAACTCGAGGTAATGGCAAGGCGATGGGACGACTCGACACCATGGAGCAGGGTCGAGTGGACTTTGTCCCGTCTTCGTGGATTTCGGGCGAGCCGGTGTTGACCGAAGGTCGACTGCCGGCACGCCCCGTCTGACCCACCGGGGGGCGCGCCGGGGGAGGGAGCCGGAGCCTTCGCTCCCGGCCGGCATAGGGGCGTCCTTGTCGCACTTACACCCCGCGCGAGACCTGCGGTCGCTCGGGCGGCGGGGTGGGGGAAGCGCATGAGGCGCGTGGTACGGACCGCTAGCGGTCAATCCTAATTACCCGCCGTGGCATCATAGGCATAGGAATACAGAGACATAGCATAAAGTAGAATGTTAGACAAGGGAAGTGAAGCCAAATTGCAGGGAGTTCGGTGCCTGAATCGGATTGGTTATATTTGTACGCATGCTCAGTACCGCTAATTATAATTTGTAATTACGGTAAAC